AAATCTCCTGCATGGAGTCCACCCATCTTAAGTTGTTGAGGTTTAGAAACTGGTCTAGTCCAGCCTATCACAGTCTTTTCATCCTGTAGGAACCTTCAGATCAAATCTGAGACCTTTCAAGTCTCAAAGAAGCTCTGCATAAACATTGCAAACATACAAAAAGTTCCAACACAATTCACTTCTAACCTATACAATCCATGGTTTTACAACACAGAACCAAAGTGGCAGGTGGGCAGCTGAGTTGAGGCAAGTAAAAAATCCCATCATTGCAACCATTAGCATTTTGTGGCAAAGTTCAAAATATATTTTTTAAAAATCACAATCTCTCATGGAATCCCAGTGACAAAAGCTACTCTAAAGATGAGAGCAGAAATCATTTAGCCACAAAGTATGCAGGGATCAGTATTAAAAGAAGCAGTTTGTTATTTAACGTGGAGCTTTTGAACAAAAGAAGTGTCAGGTGTGCTGCTGGGCCTAGACAACAAGGACTAGGGCTCTGAATCCAGTTTTCCTAGCCAGGTGAAATGCGAAGAGGGGAAAAACATTTAACAGTAATCAAATAAAAAAACAAGGATGGGAGATGCTGGAAGACCATGGCCCTCAAAACTGATGATGTTCCTCAACACAGAGAGAAGGGATAAGCATCATATAGCATGAGTGGCCAGTGCACTATGCATGGAACATAGAGTAATAGAGTTGGAAGGGACCTTGGAGGTCTTCTAGTCCAACCCCTGCTAGAGCAGGAGGCCCCATTCCATTTCAGACTCATGGTTGTCCTTGTCCAGTCTCTTTTTGAAAGCATTTGGGACCAACTGAAATGTGCAGACCTTTTTCCAAGGCAACCATGGACTCACCTGTCTTCACTGTACAGTTGGGATAGTCTCTCCTTCATGACATCCAGGCACCTTTCAGTCTTTTGAAGCTGATGGTGGGTTTGCTGGAGCTGATTTTCAAGGCTGCTCTTGATTTGTTGCAGCTGCTGGGTTTGGGTGCTGGTCACCAATTGTTTCTCCTTGAGCCTGAGCAACTGAGCTTCAAGCTGAGAAATAAGGAAAATCCAGTAGAGCAGTGGAAGAGTTTTAGCCCGGTGATTAAGGCACCAGGGCAGAGACCAGAAAACTGAGGGTCCCAACCCCACCTTAGCCATGGAAGCCGACTGGGTGGGTGACTTGGGCCAGTCATTCTCTCTCAGCCCGACCACTTCACAAGGTTATTTTTGTGGAGCAAATAAAAGGAAGAAGTATAATACCTTGAATTATTGAAAAAAAAACCATAATAAAAGCAGGACATGGTAAAGGAAGGCCGAGGACCAGCAGTGGGATTCAATTTTTTTTTTACGACTAGTTCTGAGGGCTTGGCTTGGTGGGTGTGTCAGTGGAAGGATACTGTAAAATCTCCAGTCAGAGATGGCATTTGCTGGTTCTCTGAACTACTCAAAATTTCTGCTACCGGTTCTCCAGAACTGGCCAGAACCAGCTGGATACCACCTCTGCTGAGGACGCTGCCATCTTGGGCTCTTCTTACAAGAGAAAATCTGATAGACTTCAGCTATGCACCCACAGAGGGGGACCTAGCTTGCTTACGGCTGAAGGCTTGAGGCGGGGATGGCAAAGTTAACAAACCAGATGGAACCTTTCTACTCTCCCTCCAGGAGCTTCGTGTTCACCATGAGCTATTGCGATGCCGCTTTGCCCTGCCCAACTGACAATGGTGTGTGCCAGCCTGAACTGGGAACTCGTGGCAAGCGAAGGGCAGAGCAACGAGAGGTGGAAGGAGGGGTGTCCAGCTATCTCAGCACTTGCAACTTCTGTGGCTTCTCCCTCTCTTCTTCACCTTCTGAGCCTCTTCAGCGGTTGTGGAGCAGGGGCAGGGAAGAAGCGGATTTGTTATCCCCCACTGGCCTTCCTCCCGTCCATCCACCTTTAATAACCACCTTTAATAACCACAAATGTGTCAGGTAGGCTCTTCCGCAATGGAATGTTTTAACTCTCCGGGATCAGAATCTGGGTTGGAAAAAGACAAAGGCCCCTCCACCCATCTGAAATAACATTGACCCCTCAACACACATACACACCTTTTAAAAGTAAAATGTCCTGTGCAATTAAAAACTGGGAAATGGCAAAAACTGAGCACATTCAATCTTTCTCACAAACAAATAAATCGGGAGGTGGGGAGGCAATTGTTGGATGTTGCTGGCTGTGACACAGTTAAAGACAAGAAAAAGGATATAGCAACCTAATGTGAAAAATATTTGTTGTGTCTGGAAATAGTTTGTTCAGTTTATTCAAAGACTGGGCCTGGAAGTAAGCTTCCATTGGAAACCACCTTTGACATGTCTAAAACTCCTCCGGGGACCACTAGGGAGCAATGACTGGGGTTAAGCAGAGGAAGTGGTAACGTTACTAATATCTGAGAATGAATATTCTCAAACTCGGCTATACATAAGTTTACTTTTCTTTTATGTTGCCACCTAGCACAACTCTGTTCCATAGATAAACAGATCTCTTCAGTCTTGTGACCTCCCAAAGGATTGCAATTTGCATAACTTCCACCCAATGGGAATTCTGAGGGTACAAATACAGAATTATCAGGGTTGCACTCCATCAGTAATTAAAGGCAGAAAATTGGAAGCTGGAAACAATAGCCCCAAAATACCAGAATAGTTTCAAGAGATGCCTCCCTATGGTATTTCAACCTGTCCAAGAAGATCTAGAAGGGAGGTCTCCCTCTGGATTCTCACTCCAATGGAGTGTCATCGTCAAGGGCCACCAGGGAGAATTGGCTCAGTTGCTGCCTCCGTTGGAACAACATCCCTCCCAAGCTCAGGCTGTCATCAGCCCTGTTGCTTCATTAAAGCTATTAAGTCCTGATTGTTCCAGAAGGCATGGGATTAGGCCTCTCCTACAGTAGTGTATGCTATGTACTTGGGTGTGTTTGTTGTCCCTGGTGGTTCAAAGAAAGAGTATTGTTTTAATCTTGTAACTGGAAAGTAGGAATGCAATCTGCTCTCTTGAAGTCATTAATAGTTAAAGCAGGTAAGAAACCTAAGTAAATAAATATTTCATAGCAACTTCCAAAGTGGTCTCACTTTCTGCTTGCAGTAAACAGCAGTCAGTGTTTTTTCATAAAATTGAAAGTATTGAAAACAGCAGCTTCAAAATGATGGTTTGAAACAAAGGACAAGCTTCCAGCAGGTGGCGCTGCTTCTGTTGCAAGAAATAAACTATTAATCGGGATACCAACATAAAGTATTTCATTCACCTCAAAAGTGGAAAAATGCCACAGTGCTGTGCAAGATTGAAGAAGTGGCTGCAATCATATGCTCTTGCTTACTTCATGTCCCACTGATATTTTACCTCTTTCTGAACAATAAGGGAATGCTGAATGTCCTGTTCTCTACCATCCAATTCTTGCTGCATCTCCATGTAATGCAGTTGGCTTCTGGCTTTATTCTGCAACAATAAATTGTAATGAAACTATAAGGTTGCAGAAAAAAAAAGCCAACCCAACAACCCACAACCCTAATGCATTTCTATACATGAAGCTTTTCTTCCATAAGTCAACCTTTGAAAAGAAGGTTGCCCTATACCAGTGATGGCTAACCTTTTTGGCACCAAGTGTCCAAAGCACGCGCATGCATCCCCAAAATGCAAAACACATGCACCCCGCGCATGTGCCCGCATATGCACATATGACCTCCCCTATGTCCCCTGTGCATGCACCCACGACCCCAGCAGGTGCACCCTACCCCCATGCATGCACATCAGACACCCGAAGACCAGCTGGCTGGTGGGAAGCACACACATGCATGCGCAGCAAAGCTGAGCTGGGGCAACGGCTCATGTGCCCATAAAGAGGGCTCTGTGTGCCACCTCTGGCATGCATGCCATTTGTTCACCATCATGGCCCTATACCTTTGGAGAATTTGTCAGAAAATCAGGTTTCTAGACAGACTGGCAACCATAAGTCTTCCATGATAATTTATTCTATATCCATTTGCTCTTGTGTGTTCTTGTACCCAATGCTCATAACCCTCTCTGTGGATTTCACTGTTAGGTTGCCTATCCCAAAATATGTTTACAATATTTGGAGTTTCCCACTGATACTTCCTTCTTATGCATGGATGGCGCCATTGTGACAATATAACAATACTCAAAGGCTACCTATTCATTAATCAGTAAGGACAATATAAATAAACCCTAATGTGGCTAAAATGTATATGTAATATGTAATGCACAATGGCTCAGAGGTTAAAAGATGCTGAGCTTGAGGCTGCCCGGGACCAGAAACAGGGTGAGCTTCCATTATTTGCCCCAGCTCCTGTTCACTTAGCAGTTTGAAAGCAAGCAAATGGAGGTAGATAAATAGGTACCACTTCCGTGCACCTCAGCGTATAATCACGCTGGCCACATGATCATGGAAGTGTGTTCAGACAACACTAGCTCCCTCAGCTAAGAAATGGAGATGAGCACCACCCTCTAGAATTAGACATTGATTCGATATGGGAAACCTTTACCTTTAATATTTAATGTATCTGTTGAAATGTAATGTTTAATTTCAACATCAATGCACATAGAATTCCACATTTTAATTTTTTAATGTAAAATGGTCAGGTAAATTCATCTTGTATTTACTCTAGAACCAACATTGAAAAGTAAGGGAGGTGGAAGTCCAGAATAGCAAGAGGTATATGTCAACCATATTTTTCAACCAGATTTCTACATTATAATTTTCAGTCTCTGCACTGACTGAGGCTTCATTTAAATAATGAAGTCTAAAATACTAGAAGGTACCAATGGCAGAATCAGGATATATTTTAGAAATTAAACAAAAGGGTGAGGAAAAATTTGCAGCTTCTGCCTTTGTCTGCTAATTTCAGATAGAGTACAGGTAGTCCTCAACTTATGACCACAACTGATCCCAAAATTTATATTAAGTGAGACAGTTGTTAAGTGAATGTTGCCCACTTTACAACTCTTCTTGTTATAGTTATTGGGTCACTGCAGTTGTTGAGTTAGTAATATGGTTGTTGAGTAAATGTGGCTTCCCCGTTGACTTTGCTTGTGAAGGCGATCACATAACCCCAGGACACCACAAGTTTCATAAATATGAATCAGTTGCCAAGGGTCTAAATTTTTATCACATGACCATGAGGATGTTGCAACAGTTGTAACTGAAAAAATTTCATACGTCACTTTTTTCAGGGCCACTGTAACTTTGAACGGTCACTAAATTAACAGTTTTAAGTCAAGGACTACCTGTTTTATAGTCATATACTTTCCTTCTAATCTGGAAGAAAAAAATGAAAGTAACTAATACACAAATACATATTTAAAACAACATATATAAAAAGAGGAAAAGGGAGGGATGCTATGAGCAACATAATACAAGTACCTAAAGAACAAATTTGTGCTCTTCCCTAGGAACATGTCTGCTTTAGCTAGAAGAAGCCGGATATGGCTTTACAGAATCCTTATATTTTCACTACTTCAGGCTAAGTCAGGGGAAATGCAGAATGACTATTTCAGGGTAAGGGAAAAGATGTGTATTTTTGTACTGTATCTTCCTACAGTACAAGAGAGGGAATCCGTAGTATTGAGACATTGCAAATTGCAATTCCCTTACATGTTGAGAATTGCTACTCTCTATTCTTTTCTGCTGAATGTGACGTTATTAAACATTTATAACACAATATATAAATTCTCTAACATACAACCAGTGCTTCTGAAGTAGAGGCAACTCAGTTCTGAATGCCCTTCTGGAAAAAGACACTTTATTTCTCTTCCTCTTTTTTTGAATATTTGGTGCTCTGATTTTTCTGGACCTCTCCAATTATATGTTTAATTTTTACAGCTTGCCCCAAGCAAAATAGAAATATAATAAAAATATAAAATTGTATGCAGATGTAAACCAACCCACCAGCTCCAAGTTAGACACTGTTAACAATGAATTAAAGCTGAAGACTTGGAAGAATAGAATTATCTTCAACCTATTTTCAGGAGGAAGGATCTATTTGAGGAAGGAACTTTATAAACACCTCTGGAGTTTGGAAATTCCAAAATGGGGGAGGGGGAGATTACTGCCATGGAAATGGTATCTCATCCATGTCCTCACTGGATGGCCAGATTCAATTCTGCTTTTGTAGAACAGGAAGATAAAACACACCTTTCCCTCCAATTATTATACAGAAAAGTAGCCCACATTACGATGATGCAGGTAAATTTGCCTCAAGTTATTGAGAAAGGGCAAGTTTTTTTTTTCAGCAATGGATAAATCCTGAGAACTGGCATAATCCAACTGGGCACCTACCTCATGCTGCAGTTTTTGTTTCTCTCTCTCAATTTGCTGCTCCATTTCCTCATATAGCTTCTGCACCTTCTTATTGTGATCAGGTATTTGTCTAGAAGAGTGCCAATAAAAAGATGTTAAGGGATGTTTATGCACACAAAGAGGCTCTTCAACTGTTACTACACTAGCTTATGTTCAGTCTGCTCAGTAACTTATTTTACAGGAGGACTGTTCTGTAACAAATACACTAGTACAACCTCACCAGTTCCCTTAAGGTAGACAGACCAGAGGCCATTGGCTTCCCACTATTTCTTCCACTGCTATTCCTTATATTTTTCCAAAGCAGCCTTTCCCACCATAGTGATTCTCAGCTATGTGGGGATTATCACTCACAGATGTTGCAACAGTTCTGCAGAGCCCCATTTTAGAGAAAGATATCTTAAAGAAACAAAACTGTCCATGGAGTCCCTATTTAATTATGTTTACTTTGTTAAAACTAGTGGGTCATATATAGTGCCAATGTGGGAAAACAATAGACCTCATGAAAAATCTGACCTCAAGCATTTGCAGCTATCAATAATGACTTCTAATTCCCAATTATTAACTTCTTCTCTCCACTTCACCCAATTATAGTTTACATGAGGAAAACTTGGCACACTACATTGGCTAAAAAACACTAATCCTTGAACTCAAAAGTTCTTTATTCCCAGGTGTATGTGCTGACCTCATATAACATACTGAGCCAAATCCAAACAAACAATGCCAAGGCTTAAACCAATTATGTATTAACTCTGCTAACTGTGGCCTATCTGACAAACCATAGTTCAACAAAATATGCAGGATTTGTGAACTCAGGCTTTGTCTTTTGATAAAGATTTTTGAAGCTAAAAAATCTGCCTTCTTTGCCCTCTTCTGATGTAGGCATGGTTCCTACATTACTTTTTTTAAATGGTTTATTTTAAAAGCAACGGTAGCTGTAACATGCTGTGCTGTATGATTTATAGATCTCATGACTATATTTTGCATATCACACTAGTCATCAACAAACGAACTACCCCAGCTTAGTAATGTTATGTAATTCAGGTACTGAGAGGTTCCACACACCCCGCCCTTTACAGCTCCATAGTTACTTTTCCTGGAATTGTGTTGCTTTCCCCATTTTAAAAATCTGTTAATAAAAACACATCCCATATTTTCATTTCTATATAGTGACCTACATTTTCAGGAGTAACTGTATCTTCTCTTTTTCATGCTTAGCTTCCTTGATCAAATGTGTCATTTTAGCCAAGAACTCCTTCAGATTTCCCAGTAGGTTTGGTTCTGCCTCCCAGAGCTGCACCCAGATCTTCCAGATTTCTGACTTGCTGTACAAGAGGAGAATTTATTGCTTCCTGGTCAATATTCTGGTTCAATTACTTTTAATATTTTAGCTTATCCCAGTTCTAGCTGAACATGAATAAATCAGCATGGAAATGTGTGTTAAGGCTGAAACGTTTCTATTGCCAGCATTGAAATATCCATATTTCCATATAAATTGTCTTGGAAGTGATTCATTTACAAGTAAATCACAAAAGATTTTGGGTAAATGAGATGTAATAATATATATGCTAACTTGGTTTCAATCAGATCAATTGACAAGTGTAATGCTTGCTGCTGGTACTTGGTGTTCCACACAGCTGTAGATAACAGCTGCAAAATATGATGTAAAGGGATACCTATGAAAATGAGTGGGATATCTAAGGATAGAGGACAGGCGGAATTACATAAGGAAGGAAAATATTTTTACTTATGCTAAACTACTTAAGCAGATAAAACTAATTTTGCTGGAAAATCAGAAACAGATTTTGCACCTGATTGATGGAACTTGGAGTTCTAGTAAACAAACAAATAAATAAAAAAATAAAGTGCCACCAGTCTTATTTTTGTCTATCCTTTCTGTGGTGGGTCTTTGTCCCCTGTGATGGTGCTTTATTTTTCAGGTGCTTAAGGAAATTCAATTTTGCATCTTCTTTAGCTAAAATTGCATTGCCAAAACCCAAGGCTTTCCTATTAGATTTCAAGGGCACAATCAAATAATTTATAAACATCTTGCAAAATGGATGGAGGTAAGATCTTCATCGGCCAATTTTCCTTTAAAGCTTATGAGATCACCTACATCACCTTCTGCCTTTAAGGCCCTTACATTTATTTAACTTGTTGATTTGTATCAAATCCATTTATCTTTCACCCATTCAGCTTCCATTTATCTGTGAGAGTCAGTATGAAACAGAGGTAAAGCTATCATATTGTTCTTACTCTTCAAAAACATTATCAGCTCCCAGTTGGTTAATGAAAGACTCAAAATGTTTTTTCTCCTCACTATTAATTTCCTCCAAGAACAAGTTTGAAGTTGCCTTCATCAAAGCTGTCTTCCTTTTCCTTTATTATCAAGATCTGTGATCCCAAAAAAATGCCCTGAAAATAAACAAATAAAATTATGCCACATACTCATATGGCTGAGTACAGTATCATGGAGCTACTATATGGAAACTCCTTAGTGCAGGGTTTCTCAACCTTAGCAAGGCTGAAGATATGTGGACTTCAACTCCTTGATCTCCATCCCCTCTAAGGCCACCTGTAATAAGATAAAATTAAAGAAAAGTGGGCAGGTGACACAAAACTGACATTTGAATTTTTATCAAAGTTTGCTCATTCACTATTGAACTCCTTAGTCACACTGAAAGAGTAACTAAAAGCTTCACTTTACCTGCATATCAGATTGTGGAGTATAAAACTTCTTTGCTTTCATCAGTTCCAGTTCTTTTCCATGGCTTCAGAATTAAATAACCCTTCTTCTGACATAGAATATCTTTGTAGTTTTAACAGGGGCTTCTTCTTGCTTCCAGGGACTAAGTCTAAAGTGTTCTGCCATTAGCCAACATTCTCTACTTGTACATGGTTGACAGCTTGATTGGGTGGGGAGAGGATTTATCCTTAATATTTACATCCTCAGCAGCCTTATTATTTTGACATAAGAGACACACATGGTAAGTATTAATATTTAACTGTATTAACATTTTACTCACAAATTTTGCACAACAAACTAAGCCTTAGTTAATTGAATCATAGTTTATATAACACACTGGACAAATTAATTTTTTCAGCTGACTGAATTCAGATAATTCAGAACTTCAGTATGAAGAATCCCAGGGCAATTTAGGGCAGTATTTCTCAATCCCAGCAATTTCAAGAAAGGAGGGGGCTTCAAATTCGAAAATGTATCAGCTAGCACGCTGGCTACGGAATTCTGCGAGTTGAAATCCACATAACTTGAAGTTGCTGAGTCATAGAAACACTGGTCTGTAGGGTATTGTATAAATCCAAGCATGGATAACCAGTTAAAGTAGGTTGTTCCAGGTGAAGAGTATCAGTGCATTTGCTTGTTGAGACATTTTTAAATTAAACTCACTCAAATGTTATAGGAATTAGGACCAGGAACATAGATTTACACATACTTCAGCATCCAGTGTGCTGTTCAGTGTGGACAGTTACAGAAATTTCCTGATTTAGTAAACATCCCGGGTGTTAGGTTCGAGTAATGAGAGGCTGAACCAGGGCATGGATGCAACAAATACTTTATTAGAATAATAAAGGACTGAACGTGCTTGCCAAGCCTGGAACTGGCTCGCAGCGATCAGCAACTGGTTGGACCCCGCAGCCTGCTTTTATAGCTGGTTGCTGGGGAGAACCAACCAATGGGAGAGGGCAACCGCCCCCGCAGCGCGGACGGACCTGGGTGGGAACTTCTTTAAGTTCCAGGGACATAACACCCCTTCCCCCCAGATGCGAACACGCATAGTCTTTAAGGTACGCGGGAGGCTTGTGCTGGCGCCCAGAACGGCGCAACTCTGGGGAGTTGTCTGGTAGATCAGAGTCTGCAAGGGAAGGTTGGACCGGTGGGATGTCACGCACGCGTTCCTCGGTCAGTGCCGGTTCGGGACTCGTAGGGCTGGTCACTGGGGATGTGCTTCCGTTGACTGGTTCGGACTGGTCAGTCATCTGGTGGTCACGGGTCGTGTTCGGGGTCCCCGACTCGGCTGCAGGCGTGAACTGGTCCCTGGAATTGGTGCTGATGTGGGGTTGATGCTGTAGCCCTGCACCGGTCTGCAACCACGAGTCACTGCTAACGTGAGTGCCTTGGCGCTTCCGCAGCTGATCCAGGTGCCTTCTCCAGATTCGGCCATCCTCCAGTCTGACTCGATACGATCTGGGTCCTGTGATGGCCACGATCTCGCCCGGGATCCACAGAGGGTCTCCAGCAAAGTTCCTCGCGAACACGGGTTCCTGTAAGACAAAATGCCTAACCCTCGATGTGGAAGCGAGGGGAGAGTCAGGGCAGTAATGTGGGTGAAGCCTGTCCAATACAGTCCGCAGGCGTCTACCCATCAGGAGTTCAGCCGGGGACTTATTGGTGACTGTGCACGGGGTTGAGTGCTGGCTCAGCAAGAAACGGGAGAGTCTGTGGTGCCAGTCTTCCTTGCTGAACCTAGCTAGAGCTTCTTTAGTGGTCCTAACGGCTCTTTCTGCCAACCCGTTACTGGCAGGATGAAAGGGGGCCGTGAAGATGTGGCGGATGCCCAGATTGGCAGCGAAGCGACTGAACTCGGCCGATGCGAACTGGGGGCCATTGTCGGAAACAATTGAGTCTGGTAGCCCGTGCGTTACAAACAGGCGAGTTAATACCTTGGTGACCGCTTGCGTGGTGGTTGTGGGCAGTTGTGCCACGTCAATCCATTTAGAGTAAGAGTCCACGACCACCAGGAACATTTTGCCGTGCATCGGGCCCGCTAGGTCGATGTGAATCCTGGACCAGGGTGCGCTGGCGCTTTCCCACTTGGTGGGGGTGGCAATTGGAGGGGATGGACGGGATTCCTGGCAGGGATGGCAGGAGCTTACCCATCTGATGATGTCATCGTCGAGGCCGGGCCACCATACGTAGCTGCGTGCTAATGCCTTCATCCTGACGATGCCAGGGTGGCCCTCATGCAACGCCTCCAAAACTCGGGTACACAGTGAGGTCGGGATGACCACTCATGTGCCCCACAGCAAACAGCCCTGCAAACTGGATAACTCCTGTAGGCGGGTCTTAAAAGGCGTGAATTTGGTTTCAACATCACTGCCCGGCCACCCCCTCCTCACCCAGTCCAGTACCTGGGCGATCGTTTTGTCTGCCTTGGATTTGGCGGCAATGTCAAGGGCAGTGATGGGGAGGTCCAGTTGGGTGACCTCAAAGATAGCATGGACCGGGGCAGGATCCTCAGCTGGAGCAGGTAGGGGGCAGCGGCTGAGGGCGTCTGCGTGAGACAATGTTTTACCTGGACGGTGTATGAGTCTATACGAGTATGCCGCGAGGAAAAGAGTCCACCTCGTCATTCTAGGTGACAGGACTTGAGGGGTCTGTTTGTCACCTGCTAGTAGACCCAGGAGAGGCTTATGATCCGTGACCAGCTCGAAAAAGTGGCCAAAAGAAATTCATGGAATTTCTTCACAGCTGCGACAGCTGCTAAAGCTTCCTTATCGATTTGGCTATAATTGCGCTCTGTAGCAGAGAGCGTCCTGGAAAAAAAAGCGATGGGGGCCTCAGAGCCATTGAGGAGTCTGTGGCTTAACACTGCCCCAATTCCAAAAGGGGATGCGTCCGCTGCTAGCACTAATGGAAGGTTGGGGTCAAACTGAATAAGGACCGCCTCCGACGTGAGTAGTGATTTGACTGCACGAAAGGCGGAGTCTTCCTTGTGTCCCCAATGCCAAGCCGATTTTTTATCCAAAAGTCTGTGCAGGGGTTCCGCCACAGATGCTTTATGGGGCAGGAACGACGCATAAAAATTCAATAGCCCCAAGAAGGCCTGAAGTTCCGCTTTGGAGGTTGGAGTGGGTGCCTCGTGAATTGCCTTAACCTTGGACTCCAGGGGGTGAATGCCTGAGGCGTCAATTTTATAACCCAGAAAGTCCACCTGTCTAGTGGCAATGGCACATTTTTCTTTTTTTAATTTGAGGCCATGCTGTCTGAACCTCTCTAACACTGCTCGAACTCTCTGGAAGAGTTGGGGTCTGTCCCTGGCCGAGACTAAGATGTCGTCGAAGTAGGGTACTACACCAGGGAGGCCCTGCAAAATCCGCTCCATGAGGGATTGAAAAATGCCTGGGGCAACACTTACGCCAAATTGGAGACGCTTGCACCGGAAAGCACCCCTGTGGGTGACAATGGTCTGGAGTTCCGCTGTTTGGTTGTCAACAGGGAACTGTTGATACGCTTGAGACATGTCCAATTTGGCAAAAATGCTGCCAGGTTCAAAAGTGTGTAATAAATGCTGAATGACGGGCACTGGGTAAGCGCTAACTTGTAAAAACTTATTAATTGTGGTTTTGTAGTCCGAGCAAATTCTCAGGCTACCATCTTTTTTGAGGGGTGTGACAATGGGCGTCTCCCATTTGGCGAAATCTGTTGGCTCAATGACCCCTTGTTTTAATAATTTATCCAGTTCCGCATCTAATTTAGGCCGAATAGCGAATGGGACTCTACGAGGTTTTAGCCTGATTGGGACTGCTTGGGGGTCGACTGAGAATGAGATAGGGGTACCGTTATAACACCCGAGTTCATTGCTGAATACGTCTGAGTAATCAGCGAATAAGGAGTCAGTGTCAGAGGTTGAGACAGCATGGACTCCTGTTAACCCTAGGCCGAGATGGGGAAACCAATCAAGCCCCAAGAGTGTGGGGAGATTTCCGTTAACTACCACTAGAGGTAGGTGGCCTTTGAAAGTTTTAAAATTAACAAGAAACTTGCCTCTGCCGATTACAGGAATGTCCTTCCCCTGGTAGTCCTTCAGGTTAAACTGGCACTTCTGGAGCCGGTTTCTGGATAGACTGGGCTGTAGTCTCTTGAGGGTGCTCCAAGAGATAATTGAGAGCGCTGACCCCGTGTCAACCTCCATGCGACAAGGTTTACCTTCTAACAAAATGGAGAGAGAGATTTTACTAATGGCATGGCAAGCGTGCTTAGCATGGTGGTGAGTGCGACAGTTCAATACTTGCCTTTGGGGTCCAGAATGTGAAAAGGAAGGGTGCCTTTGCGCCGAGTTGTGAGCGGCTTGACAGACTCTAGCGATGTGCCCCTTTTTATGACAAATGTTGCAGGTGGCTCCCTTGAATTTGCAGGTGGTCCTCAGGTGAGATCCACCACAGGATAGGCACAGGGTGATGTGCTTGGGTGGACTGATGCTTTCTTGCTTGGCTCCTACCTGCGGGTGTCTGGCGTGGGCGAGGCGGTGGATGTCGGCCGCATCGCTGGGGTCCTCTTCGATGACCACCTCTTCAGAGTGGACTGAAACTGCACTTTGTTTGGAAGCAGGACCTTGGATTTCGGTGGCTGAGTGTGCTGCCAGCTCTGCTGCCAGGGCTTCCTCGACGGCTTGCGCGAGGTTGAGGTCCTTCCTAGCGAGTAGGCGCCTTTGGAGGTGAAGATCCTTGACTCCGCAGACTAGCTGATCGAGGAGCATGTCCTCCAGGTAGGTCCCAAACCCACAATGGAGAGCTGCAGTTCTGAGGGCAGCCATGTACTGGTTGATGGTCTCTTTGTTTGATTGCTTCCTCATTTGGAAGGTGAACCGCCTGGCAATCTGTGAGGGTCTAGGAGAATAGTGGTTAGTAAGGATTTCTAACAGTTCTGTCCAGGGAACATTTTTTAACTCACGTGGAGCCACGAGTGCTGTGGCAGTATCAAAGACGATGGCTCCACAGTAGATCAGAAAATATGATTTTTTCCGGTGTTCCCTTGCATCAGCCAGCCCAATTGCGTCGATGTAATGGTTAAAGCGATTCTTGTATGACTCCCACTTCTCCTCATCCGGCTTGAACGCTGGGAAAACTGGGTTGGAGTTCATGATGAAAAAAATCAGGTTGGATAATCTGTTGAGAAAATCTCTCTGAGGCAGCAGCAGGAAGGTTTTTTGTGCCTGTGGCAGGCAAGTGACTTCAGCTCTGGAGAGGCTTTTCACAACTCTCTCTCTCTCTCTGGGTTAACATGAGGTTAAGCTGCAACGGTCGTTGGCAGCGTTTTGAAATTCGCGCCTGCGTGGGCGTCAGTGACTTTGTAATACAGCACCGCGCTGTACTTCTTGGGCGGAAATTCAAATGACAGCCATTTGAATTTCGCGCCTAAAGAAACGAGCAGCTGCGGCTCGCAGCGCTTCACTTTCCCTGTAGCTTGGCTAACTAGCGGCTACAGATGCTTCTCACTCTCGCTGCTTGCTGACCGCTCTCTCTGGCTGCGGATCAGCGTTCGCTCTCGTTGCCTGCTGATCGTTCTCTCTGGCTGCGGATCAGCGTTTGCTCTTATTGCCTACTGATCGTTCTCTCTGGCTGCGGATCAGCGGCTAGTGATTCAGCGGTTGCATTGTGCCTCTGGTAGCCATCCCATCCTCGTCGCCAGTGTTAGGTTCGAGTAATGAGAGGCTGAACCAGGGCATGGATGCAACAAATACTTTATTAGAATAATAAAGGACTGAACGTGCTTGCCAAGCCTGGAACTGGCTCGCAGCGATCAGCAACTGGTTGGACCCCGCAGCCTGCTTTTATAGCTGGCTGCTGGGGAGAACCAACCAATGGGAGAGGGCAACCGCCCCCGCAGCGCGGACGGACCTGGGTGGGAACTTCTTTAAGTTCCAGGGACATAACACCTGGGTTCTTAAGTGATTGGCTACCTAAGGCTGCCAGTCGATTTCTGGCACCTGGAAAGTAGAAAACATCTTTCATATGAGTGATCTATTTTTTTAAGGAACTACTTTGATAATATCTGATCTCTAATTTCTAACTTCCTGATTCTAATTTGGCTGTTACAAGCTAATTTGGCTGTTACCAAGCTCAGACAATAAATCAACAATATTTATAGCCTGTAGACATTTTTATTTCCAACCCACAAAGATTTTTGTGGCTTATGATGAAATATATTTAAAATGTGTGGGGAGTGGGGAGGCTGTAGCATGTGTATAGTTTACAGAAAGTTCTGTGCTCAGTACCTAGCATTTCTAGCTGATGGATCAAGGAAAACTGCAAGAGGAAAAATATACTCTCCTACCATTTTTAGGGGAGAATCATAAACATTGTAAAGTAAGCTATAAAAATGATTAACTTAGCTTTTGAAAACAGAACAATTCTCAAGAATACATGTTTCAGTTTCAGTCCATGTAACATACTGCCAAGCTCATTCAATTTCTAAAACCCCTCTTCCCCCCCACCTCTCTCTCTCTCTCTCTCTCTCAAAAGTGCTGCTATCAATTGCTTCCTAGTGAGCAATTGTCTGCCCCATATAGTGTCCACATTGACAAATATATTCTACATTATTACATGCAAAAATCAAATAACGTATGCACTTTTTTCCTACATTGGATGCTGGGGGTTTGGGGCTAATTGTATTCCAAAATTATGACCTGATGCCTTTTTGGGAAAATCTTAAGAGCTACATATGTTGACTCTTATAGGCATTGTGTGCTTTTAACAACTGCCTGGTGAGATTTCAGTTTGTGAAAGAGGCACAATAAGGAAAAGCCAACACATTTTTGATATGCTGCACTTGGCTTGTTTTTAGAAGCAACTCCGTTTCAGAGACTGAATTCACAGATGTTAAGCCATAGCTTGTTTAACTTCAGGTTCTAAAATAAGTCAAGAATTTAGCTGGATTCACTCAATCATAAACCAAGAATTCCAATCTACTGTAACTTACTTTATGTCACATGCTAAACCAAAACCAGACAAAACACATTATGGCTTAAAGTTATGTATGAACTCGGGCCCAATTTCCACCATTAAAATAAAATTTAACTTCAAAAAAAAAAAAAAAGCTTTCTCAGCCAAGGCAGAAATGAAGCCTAACTTGAAATTTAACCCTGGTTGAACTCTTAATAAAACTTACCTGTCAATAAAAAGACAGAGCGTTTAGGGTGTTCTACAGTGCAGGATTCATCCACTTTGAGATGGTTCCCTTATTTTTTTTCAAGAGGAAGTTAGTGCAATTGCAAAGCAGGGGGAGGTTTCATCTACTGGTTTATTTCACCAGCTGCTCTGAACCATCAGTTTGTCAGTTTCATTCTTGTGCAACCCACCTCTGGTTTAGTTAAAAAAAGGACTGACCATTTTTTTAAAAAGGATTTAGGCTCCATTTGGCCTCTAGGCAGCATTTCTCTTGCTGGGGAATTCTGGGAGTTGAGGTCCACATGTCTTAAAGTTGTTAATGTTGAAAAACACTGCTTTAAGGGCATGCTGGAAGCTACATTTCACAAAGCAGTGAGCATGAACCCAGGAAAACACCTAAAACTGATTTTGTTTCTTTTGCATTTAATTCAGATTAAATAACATTGGGATTATTTCCCATTATTTTAGGTATGTTTGAAATCTTACATTATATTAAATATGGCATTGGATAACTTTTAGCATTCCCAGGGACCATTCATACTACTGGCATATATGGTATTTCTCAAGATACCTGTTGGAGAATTTGGCTCTTTTCCACATTTAATGCAAAATTAGAAATTTGTTACAGTTATACTGTTTGTTGTGCTAAATGTTAAATCAGCAGCTCAAAATGAAATTCTTTTTCAAATCAACTCTAAACAGGACAATATTTCTAAGTAAATAAGTGTCAAACTCAAGGCTCGAGAGGCCGCCCTAGAACAGTGAAGGACTGGCCCGCTGTGCCTCTCCCAGCAAAAACGGAGCCTGGGCTCCATTTTTGGCTGCAATAGCCTCTTGTAGCCCTCTGCCAGAAAAACCTGACCGGGAGGCCATGAATCGCCTCCCAAGCTCCGTTTTTGCTGGCAGAGGGCTGCAGGAGGCTGTCGAGGCCGAAAACAGAGCCTCAAATGAATGACGTCAAGCTGGCCACACCCACTCTGGCCAGGCACCCCCGCCCCCTGAGGTCAAACACAGCCCTGACGTGGCCCTCAATGAGATCAAGTTTGACACTCCTGAAGTAAAGGATGGCAACAACTTATCACAAATTCATGTCAATTACGGTTGATGCAACTGTGACTGAGGTAGAAATATTTCAATATTTCAATACAGAAAAATATACTTTATGGAACATAACATATTTATGGAAAGGTACAGTCATGAATTTCTATGCTAGAAGAGTTTGTCTGAATCTAAGCTGGGCTGAGATGGCACCCAATGTTTTTCTTCGTTCAGGTTAATTGCTGTTTTTCCTAACAATACCTGTATAGTAACCTGCTTCCCATTCTGCCATATTGTTTATTTTAAATGCACATTGATTAGCTGTTATTAAAAGGGAAATTTTAACAAGCAATGGTGCCTTTGTACCAATGTGTGCATTGCTTATCTCATGCTAAGTTAAGACTTAGGCACAAGATGTTGCAATCAAAAAGTTAGATAGAAGTCATAAAATGGAATTGCACCCTAATAACATCCTACAAAATTCAGAAGTATTATGAGTTGATCATTCTAAAGGATGAATATAATTACAGACGCAGGTTCATTTTTTTAACCTAATTCATAGTTTATGTGAGAAAAGCACTTCAAATATTGCAGAGCACAGTAGTAACTATGGACTTTTTTATTTTATTCTGTAATCCCTAGAGTCTAGATTGTCTTATCAAAAACACATTGTGTATTAACTTTTTTTCCAAGCAGGATTTATTAAGTGTTTCTAGATTATGCCATGAAAGATACAGAAATTTCATACAAAGCTCTCTCTTCAAGACTGTTTATAGAAATCAATTGATTGTATTCAAATTTCTTATACTTTCCCCAATATCACTTTTTCCTAAGTTTACACAATGTGCTAATTATAACAGATTGTTTTGGCTTAATGTATGGATCTCAGCTACTGTAATTAATGGTTCGGTGTCTTTATGTAAGCCCAGATAATGGTGACTTATTCAATAAATCACAACTAAGCAAACTAATTAAGCTTGATAGAAAGGCTGTTTCCATACTGCACTTATCCATGGTTAACTGAATCAAGATTTACTCACTGAAATGTCAGTTTTAAAGGAGATTGGCTAGTCTGTAATTCAGTGGATCATTCTACAGAGTTTTTTTTACCAGAGTTTTTTTACCATGATAAAATCTTTTGTAAAGTCCTTTACCCTCTAAAACTTTTATTTTTAAGGGCCCATCATATGTCATCACTGGACAGAGCATTAGTATGCTCAATTCTACATGAAGCATGCAAGAAATTCACACCAGACAAAGTGCTGTTCCATTATGAAGTGGCTTTATTTTACTCCCAGACTTAAGTCAGTTCAGCAGCATTATATTCACAACTGGATTAATGCTCAAGAATCCCAGCATTATCCTGAATGTAAAAGTGCAACTGTCAAAGTGGCCAGATGTGACTATAGAAATTCTAACCAAAATCTTCAGAAGACCCTAAGGAAATTTATTATATAAAAAGTGCCTGAAGCTGTTTTTCTCATAGGTTGGCCTTTGTGCAGATGGTATGAACCAACATGAACCTCCAAACTCAAGCAAGCAAGCAAGCTTCTCTTTCATGGTTAGAACTGAATGTTTGCAGGCTGCAGGTGATCTGATAAAAGAATTTCCTAAAAACAACACATGTTGCACTATGGTAACAAAATTCTGACAAGAGACCCATGTCCCTAACGTATTACAACAAGATGGCAATAAAGCCATTGCATCAATGCAAGGAAATTTGCCATTAAAATGGGTTCCAAAGTTTTGATTATAATACAAGAAGGCCTGAACTTTTGATTATAATAGCACACTGTATTCAGGATTAAGGTTTGGATATTTGATAGGAAAGTGCAACAGCAAGTATTTATAATAGCCCCAAATTCCAAGCAAAAGTAATCTGTAAATTAGATTATCTCATATTAAGATACAGTTGCCAGTTTGGCAATGCTTCTTATTTAAAGTCACTTGGAGAACAAAGGGAGCTATAGGAATTAGAGAAAGCAAGTCTGGGCCAAGTCCATATATCAGCTTCTATCACTAAGTTGCTGTGCAAGTGAAGTAAGGCAACAGAAAGTCAAAAATTATACTGCATCACCCCTTGCTGGCACACACTATTTTCCCTCACTAATCACTATAATGCTACATAATTGCAAACGGATGATCTGTATTTAAGAAGATTCAATACTAATTAAGGTGGCAAAGAACATACTGTATAGAAGAAGTTCGTAAGACAGTAGTGAAACATGCTAGATTTTATGATTATACTTGTCCTTCCCACAAATATTATGTGTTGCATCTTCTGTCTTTTGTATTTTTGGGAGACAATTGTATCATGTATTCCTGTACAGTTATATAACAAAAGAACATATAAATTACCCAGAAAAATAACTGATAAAAGGCTACAATATTTACAATATTTCTGACCCTACCCTCTTCACAGCAGTAAGTGCTACGGTTTAATGCACACTTGTACCCACCATAACCATAGATTCTTCATCTTTAAAAAAAATCCCTGACCAGCCTGAAAAAAAACCCCAATCCATTCTTTTCCCCCTCACAATATGTTTAAACATAATAAAGTAAAAAGTTGCAGGAAGATCAATGTTTAAGATATTATCCTATAATTCTATTGTTTCCTAGACCCGCACCCGCATATAGTGAGTCATCATATCAAGCTTTTCCTGAGGCCCATAAACGGTGACAAGTAAATGACACATAAAACAGACTGCTGCAGCTAGCAGAACTTAGGTTGGCCCTTTCTTGTATCCATCAACACTGGCCCCCTATAGACTTGGCCCTTTAGATATGATTTCTCCTGCTGCAACAAGCATATTTAAGGTAAGATTTTACAATCTTTCATTGCACATAAGGCTCCAGTGCTATCAATGATAAAAAAAATTATATCCTTCTGAAGTGTTGCACTAGTCCACTAAAACATAACATAAAATACATAAAATAAGAGATCTCTGGCTCTTCAGAGAAGGAACTGTAATGCTGAATAGCTGGTCCTTCAAAATAGCCATCCTGCATGAGTTCACTGGGTGTGGGACCCAAGTAGGTCATTCCAGCTAATAATAAAGGCAGGTCAAGATCTTCAGACAACAGACACGGATGCTTGCAGTGTTGTTATTATGGCTTTGGCTTATATGGGACAGTTCTTCGCTTTGAACCATAAAAGTCTAGAAAAGAGCAGAAAAACAAATTAACAATTTTACCAAAAAGGATCAGACCAAGTGCCCAATGGGATTCAAACATGTCCATATATCTGCACACAGATTTGAGTACAAACACCAGCCAACAAGGCCTTGCATCTCCAGAACTGTCATATTAATTTTATATATATATATTACTTTGTCTCCAAGTAACAATTAAAAAAATAGAGTAACTAAATCTCCTTAAAAAGCCTATCAGGATAACATTAATGGTTCTGAGTCAAATTACTGGAATTTGTCAAAAATAGCATGATTTAATCTAGTTAAAGAACTGCAATATATATGTATGTATGTATGTACGTATGTATATGTATATGTGTGTGTGTGTGTGTGTGTATCTATATCTATATCTATCTATCTATCTATCTATCTATCTATCTATCTATCTATTTATCTAATATTCCTATTGTTTCTTTTTATTTTTCTTATATGTATCCATTTCATGTATTCATAACTATGTTTATACTTATATCTGTTATCTTATAATTGCTTGACAAATAAATAAATAAATAGATTTGACCTTAATATTGCAGTGTTTGCTTGTGTATTAGGGCATACAATCAGGAAATACATTTGAAATAATAATTTTATCACCAAATGCCAGTTTTTGTTTCCTTTTCTATTGTCACAGAAGACATGCAGTCTGATAAATGTGATTAGGTAAAATGAATACTCCATTTATAATCTTACATATTTTTAAACCAAATACATAAAATGTTTCAACAAGGTGTCTTTATACACATATTTGCTATGTCTATAAATTAAAATGAATGTACTTGCACTGTTCCTAATGATGAATGAACACTAAGTTTGTTCAAGATTAAACAACACAAGCTGACATATCACACTGTTCTTAACATCATATGTGGCAATTAAGTATCTTCTAAAAGTTAAGTCAAGACACAAATGCCCAATTTTAAATACATTATTAAGTTCAAACTGTGGATTTTTTTAAAAAAAATGGGATTTGGGTTTTATAAAACTTCATTTCAGTTCCTGTTCTGGATATTAACAACTCCTGTTTAAGTTAACACAAAGAACCATTAGAGTTGCTCCATTCTTACCTTTGATACTTGTCTGCTTTATTTTCAAACATCTGGGGGAATCAGCCTTACAAGCGTCAAGGCCCACCTGCGCTGGTCTCTCTGTCTTTGTGTGCCTCTTGAAGAGTGCTGGAGGACTTAGGCTCTTTTCCCCTGTACAGCTGTTCTCCTTTGTGTGACCCAAGAGAGCCGGAGATGGCAGCATATTTAAATGAGATACCTTTTCCCATTTGTAATTCCCTTCCAGTGGGGTTTCTGTTTCAAAGTCAAAGTTCCACTTTTGCTGGGCTTCTTCCAGCTGGACCTTCATCAAGGACTGAAAGTCCTTCTGGAGCTGTTCATGATCAACTGGTCCAAAAAGATTTCTGCATAGTTTCCTGCTGCAGAAAGGTTTAAGGATTTTACTCTCAGAAAGAGGCATGTTTCCTACTGGGAGAAAGATAAGGAACATTTTAAAAAGGAGAGGTTACTTTTTGTCTCCAAGTAACAATTAAAAAAATAGAGTAACTAAACCTCCTTGAAAAGCCTATCAGGATAACATTAATGGTTCTGACTCAAATTACTGGAATTTGTCAAAAATAGCATGATTTAATCTAGTTAAAAAACTGCAATATGTCTCAAAAGAGAGAGAAAATATATCTAGGCATCATTATACAAGCTAAGTGTGACAGAGCTCAAATAAAAATGTTATTAGAAACCTTAGTTGGAAAGCAACTTTGGATGAGTGGGACCCTTTCATATTCTGTATAGAAGCCATATCTCTTAAAAAAAAAACCCTGAACCACATGGAATTGTATTAATGAGATCCTCACGACATATTTTACCAAGAGTTCACCCTGAGAAAGAAGCATGTGAGGGAATATTTCAAGAATTAAAGTTTCTTTGGAATACCTTTTACCAGCTTCCAAGTAGCTTCTCTTTGCCCTATACATGTCAGAACTATTCTTCCTAATGTTTAAACAGTTTTGAACACAGAAAAGAGTTGCCCAATAGTTATAAGTAATTAAATGCTTCTAGTCCATGGAGAACTAAATGAATTGCACAACCCAAATGTTAACTTTGTTGTCTCACGTAATCTTTTTCTTACTGGGCACCAACAAAGGCAGGTACAATGCAAAAGAAAGCCTACTTTTAAGATACAGCATATTGCACTGTGCAGAAATTGTATATGTTAAGATGGCCTATGAAAGTGGAAATTTCCATTGTCAGATATCTACTGTTTATACATCCTCACCATTCAGATAGGCCTAATGTTTTGTTTCAGAATTTCTTCTGATTTTCTGTATTTATTCACTCTGAAAGGTACTTCATACAGGACTTAAATATTTCACCCACTTATATTCTGAAGTACTGTTAAAACAGAGATTAGAACAGCAGCAAACCATGTGTGTGTGTGTGCGCGCGTGCATGCGTGTGCATAATCAAATAGGGTGAGACAACAGAAACAGGGTCATAATACAGGCATACAAAAGACTGCATTGTAATCCTATGTCTGCCATCTTGTCTTTTTTTTTTAACCTTACTCTTTGAACTGGATTAAATTAGCCTAGTATAATAAACTCTGACTCCCCAGATTTAAAAAATAGAAAAGATGCATGAAAGATATAATCTTACATATCCATTCTATATTTGTGATAGCATCATCATACCATAAAACTCAATACACCCCCAATAAAGTTCCTGTTTTAAGAACCAGGTAATTGTAAAGGAAAACCCTGAATCAAAAATAGAGTATAACACTATTAGCAGAATAGTATCCATATCTTTTAACACTAACAGTGCCAAAGTCCAGATATGTGGTTACGTAGCACCAATCATCCAATTTCTGTATGTTAGAATTCTTCCGACCATAATAGCAATAGCACTTAGACATATATAATGCTTCACACTGTTTTATAGCCCTTTATAAATATTAGCATATTGACCCCAATAATATGGGTCCTCATTTTAATGACCTCAGAAGAATGAAAGGCCAAGTCAACCTTGAGCCAGGATTGAACGGCTCTGCAGCTGGCAGTCAGCAGAAGTAGCCTGCAGTATTGCATTCTAACCACTGCACCACCAGGCTCGAAAGGAGTTTGCATTAACTACTTCAGTGTATTTGATATCTTTAACCAATAAAGAACTACAGTTTGGTGTCTGCTCATTATCTCCCCTCTATTCAAAAGGCTCATCACAAGGCAAGTAGCTAATGTTATGGCATTAATGCAGTTATGAATCCCATTAATGAAGAGCATGCTACTAGAGAGCCTCCAAACATGATTTCTGACTAGCGTATAAACTGAAGACCTATTTCACTCTTTGGCAAGCCATCTTTATTTGAATATATATGTATCTTTCCATGCAGAAGCTCCGGATCAAAAAACACAATTGAATTCCATGTCACTGTTTTATTTGGTCAGTGCTTCCCCAGTTTTCACATCTGCATTGCCCAGCATACTGATATTGCTAAAGAAGAGGCAAAGAGATTAAAAATAGTAGCAGCCTTCTCATACCCATTACACACAGCTATGCCAGATGACATCACATCAGAACAAGTCCAGGCAGGTTCGTAACTGCTAAGGACAGGCCACAGCTTGATGAGAGTTTTTAACTTACCACTCCAAGTCACTAAAACAGGATGCTTTCCAGATATTTGCAGTTCTCAGCTATTTACCCCACAAATATTAACTCTGGATTGTGTTTCTTTATTCTTATTCTTTCATTGGGAAGCAGTTTCCAATGAAAGAGCAGGCATGTATGGCTGTGGGATTCTATAAGTTGAAATCCACATATTTTAAAATTGTCGAATTGAGAAACATTGGCCTTGCATGCAGACAGACAACAAGCTTGCAGGCTATTGACATGCTTCAAAAGGAGTGAAGGCACAAACAATTGTAACAACATATGTCTGACAAAAGTGCCTGCATCTCAACTGAGTTAAGGCCAATCCACATAGCACATATATGAATCTCAGATCACAAATACTTGTAGATCAATGTTTGGTGGAAGTGGGGTGGCAATCATTAGAATATATAGTATATACCATACTGTGTGCTTTCAATATATGACCAAAACAACTCTAGGCAAGATTTTAGATAGCTTCTCCTGCCCCACCCAAACCCCTGATCCCTGGAACTTTCAGTCAAAAAGAGACCATTTTTGATGCCCTACCAGCAAAGGTATTTTCAAAACTACACATTTCTGGCTTCCAAACCAAGTTTGGTGAAATATACTTTAAGTGTTCATTTATCAGAATGTATCATTGTTTTAAGTGTTATTCAGAACTTTTTCCTTATCTTTCTTGTTGACTACAGCTTGACAGAATATGACAAAATAAATTTAATAAAGCAGTTGAATACACACATATACTGGTTCAGTTATCAATGAATTTAACCAATAGGTTTTTAAGTATTTTCTTATGTCATCCACATCCCCCAAATTGTAAAATTAATTTAAAAAGTAGTATTGGTTAATTCTAAGTAACTGAGTTCCATTGTGGACACTTGTATACTAATATGTGTTCAGTAAGCTGGTTCCTCATTACTGCATCTGACTGGAGAAGAGAGATTTGTTTGTGGCTTCATACCCCAAGCCACAATGGGTTAGTTATAATGTAGTGCAGTGGTTCCCAAACTTTTTCAGTCCACCACCCCCCTTGGTGCTACAAACTCATCCTCAGTGCCTCCCATCCAGGGGTGGGATTGAAATTTCTTAACTGGTTCTGTGGGCGTGGCCTAATTTGTGGGTGTGGCTTGCTGGTCACATGACTGGCTGGGCGTGGCTTGGTGGTGACGTGACCGGCTGGGCATGGTTTGGTAGTCATGTGATTGGGTGGGCATGGCCAGGTGACTGGCAAACCAAATGCAAGTGGTCCTTGCTTAATGGCCAGTTGCTTAGCAAGTGTTCTAATTTATGACTGGACTCTCCAGAGCTACTTGACTTGTTTTTGGAGTTTTGACAGCCATACACACACACACACACACACACACACACACACACACACACACA